AGCCAGGTAGGTGGGAAGGGTATGTTTTCCATTGCCAAAATCAGGTGGTCCATGAAGCAAAGCCAGCAGAGATACTATAGAACTTTGACGACCATCGACAGAGCTCCAAAATTTTAACATTGGACGATATCTTAGAATTCATCTAGTCCAATACCCTTGTTCTCCTGATGTTAATACTAAAATTCAGAAAGGTTGAATACTTTGTCAAGGTTATACAGTTGGTACAAGACAGCACCAAGACTACAAAAAGATTTCTTTTTTCTTTGTCACTTTTTAATGTTCCTTCATTATGACAATGCTAATATATACTATGTTAAATATGTAAAATCTATGTCAAATGTAAAAAATTTTCAGAAAAACCCTTAGTGCTAGATACTTAAAAATATCAGGTAAAAGAGAAGGCAGCATGTTGACTTTCTTGAAAGAATGTCACAAATTGTTAGGTAGAAGAAGCCTGTGGATGAATGTAGGCAAACAAACATTCCCCTTTGTTCTTTAGGGAACCGACTGGCATTCTTTCTAAGGGACTATGAACTAGGCTCTAGGAGACTTAACAAATGCTGAGGGAAAAACACTTCATTTTCAAGTTGTAGCTCAATTATCCAAACGAATAAAGATATATGTCATATGAGGTACCTGCGCATGTCTTCGTGTGTGTTTAGTGTATTGTGTGTCTGAGTATGCACACATGTATTTGTGTATGTATGTTTCTGTGTGTTCATGTATGGCTGCACACAAAAATGCATGTCTGTGTGTATCAGTGCATGCGTGCATAGGCGTGTTCTACATCTGTATTCATGTGAGTGTGTGTGCGTGAGTGCATGTATTCAGGCCCTGGGCACCGTGAGTGAGGGGCCTGAAGTGAATCTTGGGCTGATCTGTACCCCTGCATTGCCATTTATCAGCTTTGCTTCTTGAGCAAATATATTGCTTTCCTGAATCTCCATTTTCTTATCTGTAAAGTAGTATGTGCAAAACAACAACAACAACAAAAAAACGGTGCTTTTAGTCACTTAGCTATTTTAGTAATTAAACTGAGTTGACTGCATTTATACAAAATTTGGTTATATTTATTGTAGGATCTTCAATATGACTTGCCTCCCAAGCAACCAAATGTGGTATCCAAAAGTAGAGACAGCCCTCGTGAAAACTTGCATTGCCTTGATTGATTAATCCTTACAGTAACTCTGTGAATGAGCGGCAGTAGTTGTCACATTACGTATGAGGGAATAGAGATTTAGAAGTGAAGTAACCTGCCCAGAGTAACCCAGAGAGTTTTTAGAGGTCTGGGACACAACCCCACATCTGCCTCTAAAACTAGGCTTGCAATCACTCTCTCTCTGTCACCGTGCCGAGGCCTGAGGCTGTTGTGAAGAACAGCAATGCAGTGGTTGTGGAATTGTCACTGGCATCTGGTTCTCTTTACCCAACAAATGTTTGCCCTCCTCCTTGACACATGTTTCTCCCTCAGATCCCAGCCGGTACACAATTTCTTAAAGCCCATCCTCCATTCTGCCTTATGGAGACACTAAGAAGAAGGTGGCATTGGGAGAAATTCAAACTGGACATCTGGGGAATGCTAGCTTCACTTGGAAGTACGTCTACTGACACTTCTTCAAAGCACCATTGATAGTACTGGCCTTGCAAGTTCCTGACAGCCACTTAACTGCCACAGGCCACTGTTCCTGGTATTCCACCCAGGAAATGATAGAAAGAGAACCGCTGGAATGTGACTGCTCGATCCCTTCCTAATCTCTGGAGTCTCCTAAGTCCTTTGACTTCAAATATTAAACTATAAGAACTTGGTTCATAGACGCATGATGGTCACAGGAGGCCCAGCTACTGAGCTATGAAATTCAGTGAAAGCTGGGGAACAAAAAGGTTGCCAGGGGGGCTACCTCAAAACTAGTTTAAATAATAATCAGTGAGAAACAGAAACAAAACTCTACTTACAAAATTATTATTTTTGTTTAGCAAGATATATGGACTTAATTTTACACAGAAAATTGCATAGGAAAAAACCTCTCAGTAGTGCTATTTCAAAGCGATTTAATATTTTTAATAAGGCAAATCTTTCTGGTTTACAACTATTTAGCCATGAAATCTTAAAATCCAATCAAAGTCTGTTTTCAATAAATGCTGTTTTACAAATTTTATTGTCTATTTAACAACTCAAGAAAATTAACATTCTTTAGATGTATAAATTTAATCCGAATGACAAACATTGAGCTAACTGCCTTTCATGTAATTTAGTGCCTGTAAAATATGGGATTGCTTTTCTGATATTTGGTCTCCAAATTGTAAATAAGGTCAATTTACCCAGCAGCCTGCAAATTTCTAGGCAATTGTCTTATTCTCTAGTAGTCATTTAGAAACATACAATATATTGCATGACAAATAAGAACTCTTAAGAGATTTTGTGTTTCATTCATTAATAGTTCTTCAAAGGATCGGGGCAAGAGTTCGTATGCTAAAACCATAGCATCAGGAGAGGTGACAAGACTAGTGTCACTCAATGAGACAGAAGTGGGGAGCGATTTTCTCACTTTGATATTTCTCTCTTAAGGGTAGTGAACAGCACACTGGACTAATGTTCAGTGGATCAGGGTACTCTGAGCTGCGTTGCAAGGCTATGTTGCCTCAATGAGGCTCAGATTCTTTCTCTAGTGGGTAAGAATAATTTTAACATCTATCTCATGGGATTTTGAGAGGATTTAATTCAACATAATATATAGACATTAGCAAACCAAAATCGTCCCCTTTAAAGTAAGGAATTATTAGCATCTTTATAGCTGCTTCTCTGTATACCTTCTCTTACCAGGATGAAATACATACTTTTGACCTTGTCAGTGACATAATTTCTCTCACTGTTTAAAATCGACCTTTTCCACTGCCATAGACTGGTCATACAATAGTTACCCTGGTCCCTGAGAGTTATAAAAATGTATAAACGAACCAGTACAAATCCTCTCCACTGCTAGAAAAGCAAATTCAGCGTTGACGCATCTACTGACGGTGTGCCCTTGGCCACTGTCCAGTGAAGCTCCTACACACAATTCCCATCTCTCTCCATGGCTTTGTTGTTCTCTGTGAGAAGCTCACTCTCATACATACACTTTATTTTACTTTTGTGCTTAATTTTACTTATTTGCTGTCTCCTCCATTAGAATGTAAGCTCCACTCAAGCAAGAGCATTTGTCTGTTTCATCACTTGTCTTATCCCTCACACCAAGAACAATGATTGACATATAGAAAAATGAATGAATGATGTCTAGCACATGACCATTATACAAAGGGTAATATATCTGCAGCCAAAAGAAACCTGGAAACTATTAAGAATGGTTCATTAAGGCTTATATTGCTTTTAATGTTTCAATTCTGATATGTCAAAGCCCATAAAATAATTTAGATATTTTTCATGTCTTCTATCAAGGCCTCATCGGCGGTTTCTTATTTAGGTTATCTTTGTCCTTTTAGTTCTTTTTTCTCTGTGAAGAGGGAGTATACTTCATGCCTCAGATGCTAATTTTAGATTTGTGGAAAACATAAGCCATAATGAAGGAGTGCTATAGACTGAATATTTGTGTCTCTCAAATTCATATGTTGAGCCCTAGTGCCTCAAATAGTGGTATTTGGGGAAATCTTTGGAAGACGATTAGGTAATGAGAGCAAAGCCCTCATGAATGGGATCGAGCCCTTACAAAAGAGACTTTGGAGAGCTCCCTCACCCCTTCGCCCATGTGGGGACACATGGAGAAAACAGTTATCTATGAACCAGGAGGTGGGTTCTTTCCACACACCAAATCAGAGCCTTGGACTTCCCAGTCTCTAGAACTGTGAGAAACAAATTTCTGTTGTTTAGAAGCCACCCAGCCTATGATATTTTGTCATAGCAGCCTAAATGACAGGGCGTTTCCCTCTCTGCCTGTTAGAAATGTAAATCCATATCTACTCTCCTAAGCAAGTACCCATCATTTAATATTCATAAATTTCCACGGAATACTCAAGTGCAAGAAAGCAAAGTGTGATCATAAAGAGCACTAATAATGAACAGGCACAAAATTTTTACCATCCTCTGTTCCCACAGCACTTGGGAGATCTGTCAAATTATTGTGTGGCAGATTGAAAAGGGGAGGTTGTGTCAGAAGTCACCGCCCAATTGTTAGTGACTCTACGTCCATGTTTCACAGTTTGGGAATCACTACTTAGAAAACTCTAGCTTTGTTCATTAGCTGCAATATTAGAAGATGAGCCTGTGGGGATCTTTAAAGAGAAAAAAAATCAACAGTGGAAATGGAACATAAGAACTGGGAAAAAAAAAAAAAACAAACCCACTACAGTGTTGCTTTCATGGATTTGTGAGAGGGACTTTCTTCTATCTTTATACAATCACACAGTGGACAAGGTTTAACAATGCAGGGAAGGGATGCTTCTTTCTATATTTAGTCCCTTCTCTGGCTCCGTGAATTTGAAAAACACTTCATTTTGTAGGATTTTCCTAAATAAAACTCTGCACTTTGCTTGTACAGGAAGAAACAGAATGTGATTCTATTTCCACTTCTAGAGCCAGTGCAGACATTTCTTTGTTAGACGTCGTTGAAGAGAGTGTAAAATGATACAGATGGTAGTGGCGAAGTGTCTTAATGTCATCCTATCCCACCTATAATTTTGCTGTTTCCTTTGTGATTTTCACTTGGCCACTTCTGCTTTCAGGGAATTTTCCAGACAGAGCCTTGTGATTGGCTACCCTTTAGATAGAGACACAAAAGGCTTTAAATTTATCGTGTCTATTTCCAGAGAGAAAGACGCAATGTTGAGGACATTTGTTTCACCCAGAAAGTCTAAATTAGTCTCCCAAACGTGCATATATGCTACAAATACATTTATTTCTCTTCTAATTTTTATCACTGAAGTTCTCTGGTGCTCTGACATAGACTCAGTGGAAAAGTAAGTGCAGCTCAGGCCATTATAATTTATAACATGCAGAGAAAGGCACTCACCAGCGCTGACAGTGATAGCTTCAATAAACTGCTCTCTCCAGCTGTTCGTTCCAACCACAAGGGCTAGGTTTGTCTTCTTAATAAGTTTGTCCACGGTACTCTAGAAAGGTTGAAAAGAGTAAGATAATAACTGCTGGGTTAGTTAAGGCCTCGGAAAATCTAAGACCTTGTTGATTTTGAAACCCCAGAGTTATATAAAGGGTAGCAGATGTTAGGCTCAGAAGAACAGTATTGACATCAAACACTGTTATGATTATGCAAACAGGCATAGTCCTTACTTGGAAACATATTGAAATGGAAACTTCTTTGTAGCAAATACAAATCTCCTTCACTGCCTAATGGCCAATGAAGAATGGCCTCACTGTTTAGAACAGCAGATGCTGCAGAAGCCCATGCCTTCCCCTGAAGGCTTTATGAACTTGCTTCTCTACTGGCTTCATCTAGAGTGTGCTGTCTGCACCTGAATTAACATATGCCCTGCTCAGCGTTACATATCTGTGCATGACTGGAAGTGGCAGATAGACTAAGAAACTAAAAACTCTTACTGCTCTTGTGTTTATCAACATAATGCAGCCAGCTTGCACAGGTTTCAAGGTTGTTGCTGGATGATCATCCATAAATGGATTTTTCTTTTGCTACAGATTTTTGTCAGCCTAGGGGCTGTTAGAGAATTCACTCTCACCCTGCGGCTATTGTAAACAAGAAAAATAAGATAAGAAAAAGTCAGTTTGTACGGTTTAGAGCAAATTGCAGTTTACCTTACACTGAATTTCCCCCTGCTTTACTAACACCGAACCTCTTTTTCTTTTTCTTTCTACCTTTTTTAAGCATTTGGTTTTGTACAATGAGCACTTTCTAGCTTTCTAATTGTCCGTTAATGTAACAACAGGAGCAGTCAAGCGTTTACAAGAAAACTAAGTAAGCAGATGCACCCAAAGCACTACCACAAATCATAGCAACTACAGGGAGAAGGGTCATTTTCAGGACATGAGGCTGCTCTTCCCAGAGGAACTACCACATTGACTAGTCTACCATATATCCACACTTACTGTCAGAGCATCCTCGAATTCCCACTAATTGCAAAGAGGCAGAAAATACATATTATTTGTCTTAGGTCAAACTCTGTACATGTTTAATGCACTGTACCTGAATTGACTATGGTTTGAGAGAACATGTTATCAGCTAACTGGGTGTAAAAAAAACAAAATGCACAGAAGGCCAAAGCTAAATTAGAATGTCAGATGTGTTAGTTCAACGAGTCATTTGAGCTGACTTGAAATACTGAGATAACGTGAAAGGGCCCATCTCCAACTGGCCTACTCTGTTTTTCCAACATTATTTTTTTTATTGCTTGTTTGTCCTTAAGTTCATGACCTTTCAGTGTCTAGAACAGCTAGTGCCCCTGATAATAGCTGTAACCGTCAATGCTCTTGGTCACTGTAATTTGAAGAACATGGCAAGCATCTGCCTTTTCTCTCTTGACTCAGCCACGTCTAATCAAGTACTCTGTCTTAGCTGATGCTGGTTCAAAGTTTTGTGTAGACTGAAACAAGAACGGACCCTCATGTTTCCTGAATGTAATGGAAACTTGGGGCTGATCTCTCCAAAGGAGCCCTCTTTGTTTGGAAGCCAAGGCGGAGACTCCCATGTTTATCAACTGGAGATAAACAAGTTAAAGGATAGACTGGTCTAACACTTAAATGCAGATTTGCCTCAAGAAATATCTCTAAAGAACAAAATTTTAAGATAAACTAAACTTAAAAATGTAAAACCCAGGGTAGATTGTAAACTTTAGTTCTTGTTAACCCTGGAAAACTGTGAGATAGCTTGGGTTTTTCCTAGGTCTTAATTTGCATATGTGTCCTCCCTTGACTTATGGGAGGAGGGAAAGTGAATAAGATGAACTTGGTGTTCAGATACTTTAACTAGTTCTTTGCCATCTATATTTATCTGGAGGTTTCCTATATGCCAGTGATCAACTCTTCACTGCCCTAGACTTGTAAGCGATTGTTATAACCTCTCTTCAGCAGTGAGTTTTATGAAAGCCCAGCCCTCAGTCACAAGTAAACAAAAACACAGTGGGCAAAGCAGAGGGGGACATTGTGAGGTGTCACCCAGATTTGAGTGTGAGTGAAAAGAAATTAACAGATTTCAGTCGCCTGAAGGGAAAAGTTTAATTGCATTTTTATCTTTTAAAAATTATGCTGTAATTTGAAAGACATTTTACTCTCCACCTGTCTTGTATCATCAGCCACCTCAATTTGTGAACTAAATTAAAAAAAAATAATTAATGGGCCCAGCTAAAAGAAAAGAGGCCACGACAAAAAATCCAGATAAATACCGAGGCTTCTACGTTGGTGGCCTGATTCTCCATTTTGAAATAGTAATTCTGGTTTCCCAGACGGGAGCAGAGTCTGCTTTGGAAAAAGAAGTGGGAAAAATCGTGCTGTCTTATGGGTTTGTAGTTCTGGAAAGCCAGAAAGAGAATGCTCCTTTTCACAGAACTATGATGTCTTCTGCTGGGGTCTTCTCAGATGTTAGGGCCACGGGAGTGAGACAGGATGGGGGTGAAATAGGGGCAGAGGGAACGGCTAAGAATGGACAGAAGTTGCACCTCAAAGTCCTAAGCTCACCCTAAGGCCCATTTGTTTAACTTCTGAAAAATAGCTTTCATCATCTAGAGAACTGAGAATTTAATTTTATTAATTAAATGATAAACTCTCTGGTTATAGGCACTATTCCTTCAGTATGCTGACTGTGCTAAAAAAAAAAAAACGTCCTGGGATCTTAAGAGGATGACTAAATGTAAATGAGAGCTTGTCAATGGGGTATCCATGGGGAGAGCTTACCATCTCCCTCCAAAACAAAGCCTCCTAATTTTCAGCGCCTAACAAAAGCCACCTAAACGTCCGTGTGAATGCTTTGCTTCTAAGAGATTTAATAGCTTTTTCAAATAGAGCTTGGTGTTTTCCACATAACAATATCTTGAAATCCACCTTTGCTTCTTCCTTGCTATCTCCTCAGTCTAAGCCCTCCCTTTGGGCACCTCTGACCTTGGGCAGTGACAGATGCCACCCGCCAAGCCCTGGTTCTGATACTGTTTGGTTTGTAGGATCCCTGTTAACACTCTAATTCCAATTCTGTATTGAAATCCTCTCAGTTAATGAGCAATTGCATGAAATTATATCTGCCTGTCTTTCCAGATGGATCTGACAGGGCAGGCCAGCACTATGAAGTCTTGGTCCCAGGATGGCCCTGGCCTCCCCGGTGGGTGGCGTTGGTGAGCATACCTTGAATTCATAGGATTCTTCAATGATCACTTCCAGCTTGGTGTGTTCTCCCAAAATAGGGCGCCCCATTTCTGCAATGCGCCTCTCCTCCTCCTCTTTGCTGGTCAGCGGCTGCTTGTCATCACATTCCTCTGTGAAAGGGAAGGGCAAGAAAGTGAGCAATGTGCTCAATTTTATTGGAAATCCTTGGACCCTGCTGCAAGAAAATCAAGAAGGAAGGAAGCCCGAATGACCTACTAAAAGTCCCTTGGTAAGATCATAAAGCTGGAGAGGATAGACACTTGGTATGTCAGGCAGCATATCGCCGTGACAGCAAGTGATTAAAATGTCCCACGACCTAAGCACATTCCAAAGCGCAGATCGGGAAAAGGGACTTACAGGGGCACATTACTGAGCAAGACTCTGCCTGCACATTGTCCGTATTGAAGGAATCACCCAGGTGTCCCCTGTGACGATGGCTCATCTGCTGTTTGTACACATTTCTTCAGCACACAACCAAAAGGAAACACAATTAAAAGAGCTAGAGGGACTCACGGGATAGAGGAATCTGGCCTCTTCCCCTTCACTTTCTACAGGCAACATAAAATGTCCCAGTGCCAAAGAGATGGTGGAAGGGAAATCCTGCCCTTTGCCTCTCAACTTGCCAAGCATCCCTGTTGCAAAGTTAAGAAGAAAACATCCTTTCCATGTTTCAGTAAGATGCCTGCTCTGGTGCTTCCTCTGGTGCAAAGCTGAAATGTGTTAGGAAGACCTTGACCATGTAAATCTTAAAGTACACAAGGAGAGGGAGGGTGAGGCCTTTGGGGATTTAATGCTACTCATCATGTGAGCATGATTATTTCCAGAACTACCGTGTAGCTTACACTCCAGGAGAGGCTAGGGGGTGCTGAGAAAATGTTAATGGACTTGAGAGTCCATTAATGAGGGGAAGCTCACAGTTGGCTCCTCTCTGCATGAAGGTCATTAGGATAAATCACAGACTGAAAAGGCCATGCACATGTGAAAGACAAACACTATTCCTGTAATCACTTAGCCCACTTATCCTTCAGGCCCAGGATGCTAGATCAGGACAGGCCACTTCCCCTGAGTTAAGCTGAATAAACTTCATCTCCAAGGAATTAATATCAGTGGTGTAGAAAGACCTCAACCCTGATATCCTTGCTTCTAGAACTTTTCAGGTAAACTTCCTTCAGTAGGAGTCTGTTGACTGAAGAGACACCAGAAAGGAAGGTACTTCTGGCCCAGGCTTCTTGCGTTTTACATTTAGGCATCAGCTTCTGCAGGAGCCCACATTTCCCATTCCCTCCAAAGACGCCTGGCTTTTGTCTGCTGCAGGACCCTGCCATGGTGGCTCCATCTGATGCTCTAGCAAATGCTGCAGAGAACCGGTAAGACACAGAGCAGATGGGCTAGAGGCACTGCTAACATTTTATATACCACATGTCAAAACCAACCAAAGGACAGAGCAGAATGTAGCACGTCAATAAATTCTTTGGTACGTCTTCAATTGTGCCTCCTAAAAGGATATTTCAGAATCTGCTTTCCTATACCTGGTGATGACAGGACCCTGAGGAAATTAGATGAAGACTAAAAAGAAGTGATTTTGGATTGGCCAGAAACTGCTGAATGTTAGTAAGTGCAAAGGAGAGGTGCAAGGAGATTAACTTTAACTGTTAAAGTGGAAATATTTTAAAAAGTAGCCTTGGGAAGTTATGACCCAAGGGAAGGCAAAGGGTTCCGATTGATGTCTCCAAGATTTGTCCTTGAAATTATGAGTATATAGTTGAGGAGTTGGGCTGAAATATGTGAAATTCGATTTACCCTGTGCGCAAATCAATCGTGTTGATTCATACTGCTTTCTGATCCTTGAACCCAGGATGTTTTTGGTAGTTTTCATAACCGTAGGTTATATTAATGTCTTTGTTCAAAACCTTGGCTGAACATGGATGCCCTGGAGATTTACATCAAGTAAGAATTATTTTTCTAGAAGAACTACTATAACTTGGATTTTTATTTGAATTGCAAAGCCATTGGGGGAGAATATTTATTATGTTCCCCTTTTCTGAAGTTTATTTATAAATAGTAAGTTGCTTTTAATGAAATTTAAGATAATTTAGGTAGAAAAAAGAGAATTTGCAAAAGAAAGGGGATGTGGAGGCATTAATGTGAAATGCCACATTTCACAAGATGAAATGATTTGGAATATAGTATTAAATAAATGGACAGTAGTAAAAGGAAATCAAATCACACAGTGAGTGCAAAGGTTATTTCCTTTTTAATCATCCCTCGGTCCTTCTGATCAAGAAGAAACGCATGGTTTGGTGCTGTTATGTCTGTAACTACTTTCTGACATTTGGGTTTTTACCTTTTAAGAAAGAGAAAATAGTTCTCAAGCATAGAGCATTTGACTATATCTAGCTAGAATTTAATAACTTTTTTTCCATTCTAAACTTTTTTTAACCTTATTTTCTACTCATGACAAATGATACTAGTTTTCCGTTTGTGTTGGTAACAAAATTTTCTTTTAAAAACAAATCTAGTCAAGTACAAACATGAGGCAATTTCAAAAATTTACATTAAGAAAATAATAGTATAGTTGGTATGGAGCCAAAGCAAATATTGTATAGGAAGTATGAGAATGACCAAAATTTAGGAAATGCTCTCTGAACAGATTTCATACTAACCTAAAGAAAATCAAGGAACCTTGTTTCTATCACTTTCTACTCTTTCTCCAAACCTGACTTGAATTTAATGCCATACTTTTATCCCATTGTCTACCCATTTGGAAAAGCTTCTCTATTTCTATCTAGCTAAATCCAACCTATCTTTCAAAATCCTACCTCTTCTTGCATGAAATATCCCAGTTGACCTATTTAGGAATGACCACTCTAACCTTATATTAATTCCTTAATATTTGTTGTGTGTACTGAACACAAATCTTCCTAACATACTATTTAAAATTTTTTAAAGTTACCTATATGTACAAATATCCAGCATGTAAACTTACTGAGATAGAACAATATGTCCCATTGTTCTTTGAACAGTTCTCACATCCCCCAGAGCCTATTACAATGTATGAAATGTATTAGGTGCTCAATAAATATTTGTTGTGTGATTCTCCAACTCACTGTTAAAAAAGCCTCTATTTGCTTTTTGCACGTAAAGATGATTCGTTTGTTTAACACATATCATTGCACTCCTACGATATGTCAACACATTGAAGCCTCCAACCCCCTCCATCCTGCTTTTCCAGGAACTGATGGCCTAGTGGGAAGCGAGGCATATAGATGGAACAACTTCTAGTACAGCTCGGTAAGAGCTGAGGGACCAGGGTCAGGGGAGCAACTTGCTCTGCCTGTGGGAATCAGGGAAGGCTTCAAGAAAGAGGAGATATTTGAAATTGGCCTTGAAGTATGTATAGAAGCTTGCCAGATGAAGATGGTGGAAATGTTGGCCAAGAGGTAGTAGGGTAAGGAGAGGCATTCCAGGCACGGAGAAATCAGAGCACAGAGTTACAGCGTCATGAAAGGATCAGGGCTATTTTCACTTAATCAATGTCATGAACATTTAAGAAGTAATTATATGTAACTGAGAAAATGCAGCTGGATAAATCCTATTATTTCTCTACAATGATACTGATAAATACATTTATGATGCGGATTTTTGACACTCACAAAGAAGAAAGCTGAGTTTATTCTTTTTTTAAAGTGTCCTATCTTTAGATACCTTTTATTGAATAGGAAAATAGTTAACAGCATTTTTTTGTATTGTCTATTGTGTTTGTTTCCTTTTCTCTTTGAGTGCTGGATCAAATACAGTCAGTTAGTTTCATTTCCTTACTTATGCAATGATAATATGTGGTAGTTTTAGTTTTGCTTCTCGGATAAAGTTCCTCTCTCTCTCTTTCCATATACATGTATACTTTTTAAACGTGCCATATTTTATTGAGAGGTTGATAATAAATAACATAACATCATGGTCTTAACTAACCAATATGACTTAAAGATCAAATGCATAATTGATAGCTGCTGTTCAAATCAGTATGGATAGACCATAATACAATCCTGTTATTAAATCACCAGTAGGGGACCTCTCTTATCCTGAGTAATTGATTCTGCAATTGGCAAATAAAAACTAATAGGTGCCTGGGATCTGGGAAAAGCAGAATTATAAAAAAAAACTTGTCTGTGCTTTCTGGCTCAGGCTGCATTTTGAAGCAGTGCGTGGTGAAGGGCTGAGAGTGGGAATCCCTATTGGAAAATAATGCAACCCACAGGAGATCTGTGCCTGAGGAGCTACTGTTTATATTCTTTATTGTATTTGCAATTTTTAACTTAACAAAGGATGTTGATTGGAAAGGGGTGTAAGGCTAGTGGTAGGACAATTTGCTCAAGATTATTTTAATTCTTCAATGAGATCTATACTGACAAGTCTGAAAGCAGAGATCTCTTAATAGTTTTCAGCATTTGGCTGGTTCTCTAATAAGAACCTAAAGAGACTGGCACTTTTATTTTTGTCAGGGATATTCTGGAACAACTCTGCAGTCAGGGCTGGGCATCATAATTATTAAATGGGAGTGTGAGAAGTGGGGATGAAGAAAGTCCTGCTGGGGTGGATAGAAGTGTTTCTACCACCACGGCCGGGGATGGGTGATGGTGATGATGATGGCAGAGTAGACTATCCTTGTCCTCATCCAGAGATGCAGTGCAAGGAGATGATGCTTGGGCTCTAAACTATCAGGCGATCTAGGACAGTTGTGGAATCCTCTAGTCACTCTGTCAATGTCTCCCCCCTCCCCCCATTCCTGGAAAAACCCCACAGATGTGCTATCATCTATGCACATATGGCTAACATCATGTTACCTGGAGGCAGGAAAGGCAGGCTCTGGGAAGAAATACAGCTTGCTTTCAAAGAAATGTCATTATACTTGAAATCAATGACCCAAGCTTGAGAAACAAGATTTGCAAGAAATCTAGAATACATTGAAACTTGAGTCGAGAGGGAGGGGCCATTGGGATCAGTCTGCTCTCTCTACCATGCCCCCTATCCTGTGCTGATGGGGTTGCATTTTGTTGCCAATCCACCATATCTCCAGCTACAGAGAAGTCACTGTATTATTTAGCAACGTTTTAGAGCAGACAGGGGCTAAATTGTGTCACTTTAATGTCTAAAGACATAAGGAACACTTAAAGGCAGTTAACTTCAAATTAATTAAACTAATTCTCAAGGACCATGAAGAAATGAGTACCTGCAATGGTGATTACAGTAGAGGGAATCGGATGTTCTCTAGCGTGAACTTTCCTGAAGACAGGTTGGCCTAGCAAAAGGACAGGCAGGAAATCAGCAGAATGGATTGCATTGGTTTGCTAGCAGAGCTTTGTGGAATTAGTAAGCTAAACATCACACTGAGATGCACACATCACAAGCAATGTTAGTTAGAGAACTGAATGGTCATAGGTCACTCTTATATAGGTTGCTGAGGTGAGCAGGAAAATGGGGCCAGTGTTCTGCAAGCCGCACACACCACGGTCAGGGATGTAGCTAGAATCCTGCAGGTGTCTGAAATGGAATACCCATGTCCTTCTAGTACTGCTTCCAGAGGCATCATGGAAAAACAGAAAGCACTTGTGTGATGACAGGAACTTGGTTTTCCTTTTCGTGCCAATGAAAGCCTAGAGCAGACCATTCCCCCCAGTTTTTCCACATGCGAAAAGGGGACAAGTATCTGCTCTGCCCACATCACAAGTTTGTTTGGGGGTCAAGTAACATAACATTTGGGAACATGCTTCTTTATTTCCTGGGGCATCTGAATGGGAGAATATTGTACTCACTGGCAAGCTTTGCAAGGATACATCATGGTCACAGCGACTGTTCAAATTACCTAGGCCTAGGGTTTTCATTAAACTTCTGGTTCAGCTGACTGCGAGATCCACCTGCTGTTGGCTTCTAACAAGAGCTACCCATAACCGACCTGGGAATCATGAGATTGGGGACTTGGTGCCAACTCCGTCATACACTTGCTGTCTAAACTTGGCTAAGGCATCTCTCTTCTCCAAGACTCAGTTTTCTCAATTGTAAAGTGACACTGAACTTGAAGGAGATTTGTTCCTCTAAACTATGTACTGAAGTGATTAAGTGTTTTGAACTGTCAGAATTTCCATAGTTTGGCTTTCTGAAAAAAGCCAAGTGTCTTATTTAGTCTATTACTTGATGAGTATAATATGATTGGAAGAGCAGCTTTTAAAGAAGTATACTGATATATACTTTCAATTAATTAGGGAACTCTACAGCTACCTGCTTGGGGAATCCAAAATGTCTCTCTCCTGTCCAAACTGAACCAGAATACTTAATTTTATTAAAAATATTCAAATGAATGTGCTGTAGTTTCCCCCTTTTGGGGTCCCCATTGTTCTTCATTTGACTGGAATTCATACTGATGACATTTACGAGACACAGCTGAGCTTTGGATTGAAAAAGGGTAAAGATGCAGGTAGGAGTGAAGGGCTTGAAAAGGAGAAAATAAAAATGCTAGGGTTAGAAGAGCCAACTCATGGCCTTGGATTTATAGCCAGAGAGCCAGGCTGTGAGTCCTGGATGGGTGATATGGGGTAGATTGATTAATCTCTTTGTCCTTTCATTCTCCTATAAGTGAGAACAAATAAAATCTTATTCCATAAGGTTGAGGATTAAATGATACAATAAGTAATAAATACTTCACAAACTCTAATGAGCTACAATGTATAAGGGGTTATCATGTTAGGTGCCTGGAGGGTCCAAGGGTGGATGATGATGTCATCATAGGTCTAAACAAGGCAAGCTCTAGGAGCAACAGGCAATGACTTACAAATTTCAAAGGTATCTTCAGCACTTGATGTCCACCACTAATGAGATCTCTCACATATAAGTACCGGGCTGCGGACCAAACAACCTTTTCAATTTCCACATACTCTGCTTCAAATTCAGATTTTCACACTCAGCTGTATAAGATCACATAAAAGCCACAGGCAGATTCCAAAGGCTAGATTATTAATTCCTTTCTAGTACTCTTGCATCTCAAAGCCTTGACTTCAAAGCCTTAAACTGACTTTAAAGAAAAGCTCTTTGGGATTTATAGCTGCTTTTCACTGTGCAGACCTAAGTTTTAGAACTTTCCCCTACGGTATCTATAAGAGTGGCTCTCAGGCATTCTGCTCTAGTTCAGAAGAAGGGCCACGTAAAGTGGGAGGAAAAGACCAATGTCGAGATTACCAGAGAATTCTGGAACTTTCTCTTGTTTTAACTGTATCAATTTCAGGTCTTGCAAAGAGGTGGTAACAATAGAAAACACTGCTATTTCAGATGAAAGTTTTAGCCATAAGGAAGAAGTTAATGAAGTACATAAAATGAAAGAAACTTTTGGAAGAAGTGATTCTGTCCTCTTGGATGCAAGGTGTGTCCCAGCTGGGAAATGTTAGACATTATTAGACAGATATTCTAAAACTTGATATGAACAATTTCTGAGGAAAAAAAAAGGGATCCAATTACGTAGATACTAAAAGATAAGATGCTTCAAGTGATATAGAAGGAAGGCTCTAAAAGCAAAATCCTGACATAGTCAACGATAAAAAAACATAAGGTGATATCCAAACACAGCAATGCATTTTAACGAGGCATTCTACAGCCAAAGATTTTTAGTCAAGGTCTCATTATCAGGCTGCAGAGGGCTGTAGGTGCTGCTAGATACTAAACTATTTCTACAATGGTTGACCAAAAAAAAAAAAAAAAAAAAATTCCTTCAAGAAAGCCACGAAGGCCGACTTGCCAAATTTCTACCTTACACAAATCTCACAATGATAACTAATTGGGTGACAGAATCAGAATATTTTCAAGAAGATTTCAGTGAGTTAAAATGATGCCATGAGAAAAAAAAGATAAAAATCTTAAAAAATGATTGTAAATTCCTACAGTTGGATTCAAAAACAGCATCTACGGCAATGCAGAATTGGGGAGGCTTGACCTGGAAAAGTTTCAGAGGAATCAGATTTAAGAAATCCTCTACCAGGACTGGTCCTGTTAAATATTTTTATCCTTTTCAATTGCTATGTCTCTGAGAATTTATGAATTATTTTGTATTAAATGCTGTGTCTGGAGAGAGGCCGTGGAGACCAATAGTCCATGTAAAATTGGTCATATTCAGAAAGTTCTGTTTTGGATAGAATTGTGTTGGAACTACTTGATCATAAGTTTATACTAGCAGTGGTTTAAGTTAACCCCAACTCTCACCATAGCATTTTCAAAATAAGAATTTTTTGGAAATACTTCCTTTTAAAATTTTTTTTGTTCAGCTATCTGATTTCAGAAAAAATAAAATTAGAATATTGATACCTGTACAATATATTGGACGTTTGATACTTATCTTCCTCTCTAAATCTGCATAGACCATTATGAAAGGGTGAGAAAAATATTTAGGATCAAAAGAGAGAGTATCTTCTCCTTCTGCACACAAGAAAATAACTTCAGATCATGTTAAACAATGCAATCAATACAGACTGGGTACCATTTTGATTAAAGGGTTTAAACTTTCTAACTGGCATTTTGAGTTTTTACAGGGCATTTTAAGTTTTTACAGAGCATTTTGTAATGCACTTCAAGTGGTAGAAACATTACTAGTTAATTGTAAAACTTACATACCCAAAGAGTGGTTCATTCATATTGATTTGGTGGGATGATGGGAAGGGACTGCTCTGTCTTCTCCCCATAGGGCATTAGCTGTTATTAGGATCCTGAGTTTGGGCCATGAAGAAATCTTGGATGTCAACTCCTGTTTTTCCTTGAGGCCAGCATTTGTCTTATTTATTCTGGTACTTTTTTGGAACATATAGCAGGGTGCACTGCACATCACCAGTGCTACGTGAACATTTGTAAATTGATCATTGTCAAAATGTGAACAATTACAGGTTCTCTATACGAGTCTACTTATAAATAAACACAGCACACACATTGTTAATGTGTCAAATGTTAAATGTGTAGAATCAGCAAGAGCACAGATCATGTTAATACAGGTTACATAAAATGTGGTTTCCATTTAATTTTTAAAGATATTTAGGGGGAAACGAGGAACATTTTAAAAAAATTGTCTTACCATACAGGTATTTTCCTTCATTAAGAGTAAACAAAAATGAGAAATAATTTTAAAGAATGTATACAATATATGGTGAGAACAGACAGTAAGAAATAAAATTTGATGTCATTAGACTTTAAAAATTCATACCTGTTATTGTGAAGCCACCTGAAAAAGAAAAAATAAATAAATGTTACAATTTATTTAACTCACACTTTAATAACAAATACCAATGACATTAGACTGCCTGACAATCCATCCAAGGTATAAAAACTTCCCAAATTATATTTATAATTAAGAAAAATATAAAAACATCTATTCATGACTTAATCACTGATCACTCTTTTTAAGATTATGGGATTTAGTGCACAAATTTAATTCTGTGCATACATAAGAAATCACTGATTTTTAAAAAGGTTATACTAAACTAAAAATGGAACATAAACTATCTGGCCTTAACAAAAATGAGGCCAATTATCCTAAACAAAATGTTGCTAGTAAATCAATAGAAATGAAAGTCAGAAAACTACTGTATCACTTGACAGAAATGGAAAATAACCTAAAAAAATGGAAAAAAAAATGCAAGAAATGAAATGCTTACCAAGCTCATTCAATAACAGGGCTGTGAAAGAAACAAGACAAAGACAAACACAGAATAAGAGACCAAATGAATAATGAAAGTAAGAGGAATATCAGCAGAAAGAAATCCAGGCAGATCTGATTACAGTAGTAGGGAGCCACTACTAAAAAATAGGTGCACCCCAAGGAAATGTGGCATTGGGAGTATTTCCAAACAAACATCCCAACGCTAATTTCTGCAAATGTGTATGATTGACTTTATATAAATATATATATGTGTATATATATATATACACACACATACATATGTGTGTGTATATATATACTTCACTCTATATATTATTTCTTTACACTTAATAAAACATTTCTACTATATATGTTTATACACAGTGTATATATCTAGTTTACCAAATATAGTATATAGTAGGAATATTTTATGAAATTAACCCTAAACTTTATTTGAGTGAGTCTTTCCATTAAATAGTGCCTGGTAGCTGATTCAACATATGGAAGACTCAAATCATCCAGGATCTCAGGTATTGTACTTTTCATTCAATGAAAACAGATAAAACATCTTTAAAAATTTCATTTTGGCCACCCTGCATGGAAGGATGATTTGACCCAAAGTAAAGTTCTCTCTCTGGAGGTTTTATTTGCATCATATTTTGGCCATCAAGGAATGCTTGTGTATTTTAAATCCTCAAAACTTGAATCCCAGGAATTAGCACTTATTTGTGTGTCCCTATCTATGATTTCTGTACATTATAATTGGACAACTGGAATGCCTCCTGTGGACACATAAGTCCATGGAAGCTGATGAGGCAGGGAAGGGGACATACGTAATTTGTCTTTCAGGTTATGTGCTTTAAATCCAGACTATACTGTAGCACTTCATTTTGCCAAAAGGTACCTTGCTGAATGTATCAAATAAATTAATTCTGGAGTTGTAGATGGGACTGTTACAATTACTTTCCCAGGCTCAGTTTTCTTTTTAAGGGTAGTGGCGCTAGAGGAAACTTTCTAAAACAAGTCAGTAATTTTATTCATAGTGACAAGAATCCACTTGGCGGGTGTGAAACTGGATAGTGCTATCAAGGAATTTTAATTTGCTTTTACATGAGGGCATATTTTATTAAAACGACAATCGAAAGAGCTGTATCCAAGATGCTCTTCCTTAAGATAAAAGACAGTCCTTTGGAGGACTGTATGTTAATGAGGCACTTTTGATCTCACCTTTGTAAGAAATCAGCACTATTTCCTAAAGTATCTCTTCCTCCTGCTTACTGCCTATGAATCATATTAAATAGGCTGCATTAAAATAGGTTCCCAGGGCTTTTCTCTCCATCATTTAAAAGGCTTCTCTTACCATTTTGAACATGATTAAGTCAGGGACGTAAATATATATATATATTTTTTGATGGACTCCAAGGCCATTGAGTTCTTGCCAATGTGGGATTAGTTAAATTCCCCTAAATGTTGGGACTGTATAGCAATTAGTCTTATACATTTGATTTTTTTTCCCCTTATATGTAAAAGTGTAAATTTCTTGCCAGGTAGTCCACCTAATCATCTCCTATACTGTTCTCATTAATTGTATGAAATTAATAAGAGCTATTAATATGTAGTATGCTCTTTTTTACATGTATAATTAAATATATAGGATTCCTTTTAAAATGGCTAATTATAGAAGATAATTATAGGAAGGCCTTGTAATAATTCAGAATAAAAAATTATCTTTAAAGCTGAGATAAAATTCCTGCCCTTCCTTATCAAATATAGGTCACATAAAACAAATATAAAATCAAAGAGAGCAAGTAAGTTGTCTTCTTTGTTCAAGTATTTTTTAAAAATATAAGTAGAAATCAACAAAAAAAACCAGTTATAAGAATACTACTGTTTATTTTTTTCTTTTTACTATACATGTTGAAATCTGTCAACTTTATGAAGAAAAACATTTTGGAGTGTAAGCCTAGTAAGGCCTTAACCAGGGGCTAAATTTTTACTAAAGGACCATGTCCTTCTTACTAAAGAAAACTGATTTGATGATGGTATCATACATATAGTTCCTTTTAAATGTCATATTTGATATGAAAAATATTATGCCCAAATGAACACTAGAATATTGATTGATACCACTGCTCTTTAAGGATCTTCATTTTTATTAAATATATATTTTTTTGAAAACTGGGTTCTCTGAAGAAGCCTAATTATCGAATTCTTTAGAAATTTCCTCTTAGTTGCCATTAGACTCATCTACCACTATTAGTAGGTATTAAGTGGTCTTTATCACTAACTTTTCAGGGGAGATTTAATAGTTGGAACCAAATTTTAGAATAATCCGAGTAGTGAAAAACTAAATGTATAAATTGTTCTCTTATACGATCACTTTTGAGTTGCAGAAACCTCTTTCAAGCATTTATTAGATCAGGTATTAATCAAGGTGAGTCGGCATTTCCTGAAGAAGATGGGCATTACTTGGTGCACTCGTGAGTTAGGGAAGGGAAATGAAACGGCTAAAGCTTCAAAGGAAATGAAGTGTAGTACTTGGAAGCCGAGGAAGAAGAGAGAGGGAAGTGTGAGAGTAGGGAGACACGGAGAGAGAAGAGTACAATTTCTCGCTGGTATGTCTTTGTATACTCTCACACCTTTCATTCCTCTTCTTATCCATTTTGGTTCCTCAAGCACAAGGGAGAAACTGCACTCTTTCTCATATTCCTCACGGTCAAATATTCTAATGGTAATGATCTTCCTGTGGGAACACAAGACAAAGGCAAAACAAATGGTTGGAGTCGCACGCTCATGCTAGGTGTTCACCAAGCTCAATGTTACTGTGATGTTATGGAGGGAGACCTGGCCACACATGGACCTCCCGGAGTATGTAAAAGGGCATCATGGGTGCTCTCAGCTGGCCCCCATTAGGTTTTCCTTGCTAATTTATCATGTTCACAAATCCTTCCTGCTCCAATTAGCAGTCAGGAGGTACCCCCAACTTAGGAAATCAGAAAGTTGGCTTCATTTTGGCATAGCAAGCATCTGCATCAACTTTCTTAGAAATAGAGAATTGATCGACTGCACTGAAAATTAATATCTCAGAACTGCAATGTACAGAGTGGCCGAAATTGGCTAATGGAGCTACAGGCAGGGCCCACGGCAGTCCCGGGTGAGATCTATGCCCTGTTACATAGGTGGAGGGATATGTGTGTTGTAAGTCACGTTCTGAAGAATGCAGGCATCCAGGGGTGGCACAGGCCAGCAGAAGCTGTTGGGCTCAGCCCTGGAGCAGCTCCCCCACCTTTCTTCTCACTCATCTCCACCAGGCGGGGCTCTCCAATCTCAAGGAAGAAGGTCTTGTTTTTCTCATACTCCTCATCATCAATTACCTTGACTGATATTGTTTTGCTGAAACAGAGAAGAATAGAAATTGACGAACAAGGGGAAGAGGAAAGAGAAGAGAAGGAACACAAAGAAGAGGAAAGCAAGGTAAACGAGCCGTACTTCCAGACAAACAGCAATTGAGAAACCCTCTGTATGGTGAGTTTTTCCTTCAAGAATGAGTAGGGGATAGGTCTGAACAACTGGAGAGGTGACCCGTACACAGCAACCCTGTCCAGGGCCAAGAGTTAGTTCAGGCAAAATACAGCACTCAGTACTAACAGGTTTACCATCATTATGAGAAGAAAAAGCAGAAAGACACAGACCACAATAATAAGAAAAGAAAAATATATTTATTTACTAAATGCCTTAACTGTAAGATTGTCTGAGCTGTGCCATGGAATTCACTCCTTTAGAACAAATTAATAAATCACATCAAAATATTAACGGAAGTTATCTCTGAGTGTTAGGCTTATGGGTTATATTCGGTCTTCTTTGTGCTTTACTGTATTTCCAAACATAATACTTTTATCGTAAGATTTTATTAAAATAATAAATGTATCAAAGCATCACAAAAGAAAATATAAAAGTCCTTTATCTTACCCCACCCAACGTCCTAGAATTAAAGTCTTATTTGGGTTAGTCAGATTTCCCACCTAGATCACAAGGGGAAGTTGTTCATGTCTTGTTTGTCTTTCTAAAGATGGAAGCTGAAGCCTCCCAACAGCTGTCTTGAAAAGTGGGGGGTGAGGAATCATGATGTTATAGCTATTTTCATCCCTCACAAAGCTGAGTTTCAACCTTGACAAAATATGCCATTTACCCTACTTTTAAACTCCACCGATACGCCAAGGCATTTCGTTAAGAATTCTTCCTGTAACTCATCCTTTAGCACTTCTTGCCTTTTGGACTTCTGGTTGTGAGTGACTGACAGGCAGGTAGGAAAAATGCAAATATTATGCAAATATCAACTTTCCATAAGCCTTGATGACTCTGAAAATAAATCTAGTGTTATCTTCTAATTAATAAGGGCTTAATTGCGTCATGTATTACAACTTAGAGCCCACCCTACACTTGTTTGTCCTTGAAATTGTTTTTTTTTTTCAGTAACATTGGCCAAGAACACTTCTCACTAACGTTTTTGAAACAACAAGTTTATATAGACACGCAATTTAACGGCATAGATATTATTTAGCTTTGGTCTTCCAGAAGGAAACTGGTTTATAATTTTTAAAAAATTATTAACCCAAACCATCACGTTTCATTTAGACCTATGCATTCCAAAGAGTATCTATCTTCTTTCCTAGACTGAAGGAGGCTACGAATAGAAGTTGCTTTTAATTCTCTGAATTTCCCAGCTCCTGATAATAAATGCTTTAGTCCTGCTTTCTTGGGTTAGCTCTGTAGAAGTGAGATCAAATGACTGGTTCTGGTCCTTTGGAGCCCCCATGACCTACTCTCTGCTCCTCAGCTACAGAAGAGCCCTGCATGATGCTCACATCCCAATTTCTCACTAGTAAGGGGTTGGAACTCATGACGGCGCCTTTTCCATCTCAGTTCTGTCCTCAAAGACTGAAATACTAAGGCTAGATGAGCAGTTGTAAATGCCTAAAGCAATAATCATTTTTTTTTTGAGTAGTTAGATATTTAATAACCATGTGACAAAGTCCAACTACATGTATAAAGTGAAGAGTTCCTGTCTAACTTCTAGAACAATTTTCTGGAATTCATCTGTTCACTTAGTGTCTTTTGAAAAATCAGCCTGCCTTAACTAAACCAGGATATCTGATCACTCCTCATTATCCCAAAAATACAAACTATTAGAGAAAGCAAAAAAAGATGTTAAGATATGATGATAGGTATGCTTTTTATTTAAGAACGGAATTTGATGTTGCAAGTGAGACCAAATGTACTATCTAAACACTTGCTAAGCATTTATCTTCTTTGTCATCAAACTTATGCATTTTAGGTATTAATTTCCATCTTACTGCCTCATAATCATAAACTATAGTTGCACATCTCTCCCAAAACAATCAGCATCATAAGACCATGTGTGAGAAAGTGTTGATGGATACCAGAAGGGCCATGCTCCTGTCTTCTGGACCCAATGACCCAACATTCATTATCAAGGTACTTCATGGTATGGTACATTAAACTAGATGTCATGTTTCAATGTTCTCACTTATATTACTTAAAAACGTTTGAGTTACCTTTCTCCATCTTACATTCCCAATCCATCTGCATCTCATTGCAGATTTTATTCTATTGTAAAAGTAAAGAAAGCACAGTTAAGAGTTGCCTTGCTCAATAATAGGGTGTTTGTGTAGAAAAGGCTACTGGTTTCATGCTGAAAGGGTCACATGACTACTTATTCACAAACAAATAGAAACCACCAAACAATATGCTGTTTCTTATCTTTGATAAATTTAATCCTCTGTTGCTGTAATAGCTTTATTTTCTATACTCTGAGTAGCTGATAAGTGTGAGAAATGTAGGGCTCCACATAATTTATTTGTATAATAAAAATAAGCATAAAATTTATCATAAGAGTATTACTATTCACTAGGATCATATTCCTTAGAAAATATTTCAGTATTTGGTAACTGTGACACCGGGAAATCAAAGATGAAGAAAAAGAAAACAGTACCTCTGTGGGTACCCAGCAAAGATACCTAAAATAGATAGGATTTGCATAATGGCATATCATTTCAAAATCATTAGCAATACAATCAATAGTGCCCCTGACAGGAGGAGCCATTACATTTTGTATCGATTTTGCCTCACTTGCACAGTAAAGCTATTAACAGGAAATGATTGTTAAAGGACATTTTAATCAATTTAAAGAGGCAGAATGAAGACAATCCTTCTGATAGCTCTCTGGATCAAGGGAGGTAAAAATAAGAATAGATTGGTAATGTTCACCTTTTGCTTCAGAACAGAACTATTTATATCCCTAGCAAAGGTAGCAAAGGTAAAATTAAGTCTTGTAATTTTTAAAAGAACATTTTCTTGGGATTTCTTTTGCTTATTTTCCAGAGCTGAATGCATCAGAGATTGTCACCACTTCTTTATCACAGGGGATGTTACGTGAGATCAGATTGATTTGGTGAAGATAAGCAGCAGAAGCATGCCTCTGTTCCTCACAGTTCTGTGGTAGAAATAGAATTTCAAGGATTGAAGAGACTTTAAAGGTCTCTCCAGTTTTCCCCTATTGTCACACCAATCCCATATTTACAAGGCTTTTACGTTATTGTGAGGACTGCTCTCTAAGGACACAGATTCATGTTGACTGTTCTTTTGTTTTATTTACCAACAGGAAGCAGCCAGATAGCTGTTTTTATTTCTTCGAATTGAAAGTTTAACCAAAACAAGACTAGAACAGTTAGGCAGACATGGCCCTTCATCCAATGACAACTCTTGCACTATTATTACACTGATAAGGAACAAATAGAAAAACAGATGTCATACAATTTTTAACTACCGTAATTATGAAGAAGGCAAAAACTTCTCACTTGATTTTTTTACATTTCTCTAAAGTTGAATGGTGTACTACAAAAACTGTGGTTTCTGAAAATGAACAAATTAGTTATAAATCTTATGATTACATTAAATGATTTCTCTAAACGGCCAAAATTTTTGTGGAGATACATATGGTTCCATTTCTAGGGAAATAAAGCATTTGGTTAAGAAATATCAGTTTATTTAGTGGAAACATACAGGTCATTCCTTTTGATTTTTGCAGTGCTTTTCCTTCAATGATAGTAAGCCAACATCTATACTTCTCAGTTCCTCTCTTATCTCATGGGTCTCAAAGGACCTGGACACCTTCAAACATTCTAACAAGGAGTTCTTTTATCAGGTGGTCACTCGGGTAGATGGTGAAAAAGAAAAGAAATGGGTGGCTTTATTCGTGGGTGTTAAAGAAGAAAGTCTCTTCAAAATATATTCTTGTCTCTCATTATTCAGCCAATGTAGTATCAACCTCTTTTAAATCTCAGTTTCAATTTGTTCTTCTGTGGTTTCTTTTCTGGAAGACTGTCCTTAATATTGGGAGAAGTGAGAAAAAGACAAGTTGGAGGATTAAGGAAAAAAAATCTTTCTAAATCCTCATGCAAAAGACTTTAGTGAGGATTTCACATATTTAGACACTGCAATGGCTTTTTAAAAAATTATTTTATTTTTTACGATTTAACCTCTTTTTAGGCATACTCAGAGGTCAATGGACTGATGGGCACTTTGTATTTCTTATTTCACTTATCTTTGTCACACCCCCAGAAATAACTTCTACTATTTACAGTTGACAGAGGAAACAATGACTCAGAGAATTTAAGTGATTTTCAAGATCACAAAATGAGACTCCTGTGACTGGCTCCAAAG